CAATGTTAAATCACATTGTACCAGTTTGTTATAACTTATTCTGGAGGTTATATATGAGTACGGGAGGTTATATATGTTCCAACAAGTGCGTGGAACACAATGGTCAGTGGTGCAGTGGTTTAGCACGTCGCGTCCGACGTGAAGACGAGTGATTCGATTTCCTCTTCGTCCATACTTATGCGAAAATTATTTTAAGACATCACTGATATACTGAGCACCAATACCTTACCTTGAATGCTGACATTTCAAGACAATAATGGAGTGAATTATTAACTAGGAAAAATCAACGATTTATCAAAAAAATAAAAAAAGCAACTTTACACAGACCTTCATAAATTCATCCCTATGCGGTATGTCTACACCTCTGTGGACTACTTCAAAATAGGGCGATAAAATTGATAACGACCGATTCATCGATGTAATATGAGCATCACTTATATGTGGAGACTGTCCGATTTGACAACAGTTCCAGAGATGCTAAAATGCCTGTGATTAATAAAGCAAAATGTACCACCTTCGTCAGCTTGGTGCAGTCGCATCGAAATTAAGAAAAAATCAGAAATCTTAAACGTAGCAAGAAAAAAAAACAGTTTCAGTACCTTGTGTATGTATCATAGCCAATTTCGGCACATAAAATTTAGAAATTTACTGGCTCCCCAAAGGCGATACTTACAGCTTACGTAATATCAGTACTCAGATTTCGTAATTTTTTGGATACTAAAATCTTCACCTAAAGAATTACGCTTTACTAGAGAAGCCACCACTGCCTGAGGATTCATACCTCCCCGCTACCTCACGCCATCTCCTCCGCCTCAATCTTTCTCCCACACAGCCGTGTAATACAGCACAGCGTTTCTGCAGAATTCAGATGGATGAGTTCGCAGACAGCTGAAAATATTAGTTCCCGTTTCACTCCATATTTTTTTAACGACCAAGGCCCACTGTTTTAAGGAGCTGTACTTTCAGGAATACGGCAGCCAAAACTGTATTTTAAGGAGCTTTTTGATTTCCAAAAAAAAAGAAACTCACCTGCCACGGTTCCAAAAGATCAGAGATTATTTCTTTGCTGTATAATTTTGGCACTGAATCCATGAAATAGACAAAGAGAGCAGCAACTTTGCTTGTCTGCGGATGTCGCTAAAATAGGATTAGTTATGACAATAGTTATCGCTATTTTCATGTGAATATCGAGGGACCGATTTTGCCAGTGGAAAAACCAATTCCTCTCGATATGCACGTTCGTTTTGGGTGGAATACTAGTACTGGTACGTACTAAAGAATCTGCATCAGCTTGGTTCTTAGCAGCTCCCAAAAAACGGGGACCATTAAAAATTTTTTTTAGCAAGTGGCTGCTTTTGGTACGCATATTTAAATGCCATTACACAAGACCGGTTTGTGTAAACTGCATGAAAATAGTAGCAAATTATTTATTATGCGTTTTTTGCAGCTATGCAATGCAGAAAACGCATATTGACGAGAGGTTGCCTGTGTGTGTGTGTGTGTGTGTGTGTGTGTGTGTGTGTGTGTGTGTGTGTGTGTGTGTGTGTGTGTCAGTGTGTTCGTTTGTACCGATTTTTCATCTCGAGACCGGCAAAAGTTACAGGGCTGAAACTTTGGGAACATAATCTACATACACGTACGGGTCCCCATCCCCAAAATTGGCGCCAGAACCCGAGTGGTACCCGCGTACGGGTCCGCCAAAGTTTTATTGGGGTCAGTTCATAACTCGAGGATCTGAGAAGCTAGAAGGCTGAAATCTTAGGGTAATGTTCCCGATCAGTTCATAACTCGAGGATCTGAGAAGCTAGAAGGCTGAAATCTTGGGGTAACGTTCCCCGCCCACAAGTTCATAACTCGAGGATATGAGAAGCTAGAAGGCTGAAATCTTGGGGTAATGTTCCCCGCCCAAGTTCATAACTCGAGGATCTGAGAAGCTAGAAGACTGAAATCTTGGGTTAATGTTCCCCGCCCAAGCGGGTATTAGTGGGCTCAAACCCAGCCCCCGGGTAAGCATGGTACCTGTCCCGCGCCCAAGCGGCTATTAGTGGGCTCAAATCCAGCCCCGGGTAATCGCGGTACCCGCGTACGGACCCGATCAGTTCATAACTCGAGGATCTGAGAAGCTAGAAGGCTGAAATCTTGGGGTAACGTTCCCCGCCCACAAGTTCATAACTCGAGGATATGAGAAGCTAGAAGGCTGAAATCTTGGGGTAATGTTCCCCGCCCAAGTTCATAACTCGAGGATCTGAGAAGCTAGAAGACTGAAATCTTGGGTTAATGTTCCCCGCCCAAGCGGGTATTAGTGGGCTCAAACCCAGCCCCCGGGTAAGCATGGTACCCCCCAAGCGGCTATCAGTGGGCTCAAATCCAATCCCCGAGTAAGCGTGGTACCCGCGTACGGGCCCCCAAAATTTTTCCCGCGCAAATTCATAACTCGG